AGGGTTCCCTGCGCCCATCCCTGCCGCCAGCAGCCAGGGGATACTTGGAAGCAGCCTGTGGAAGCTGTGGGGGGCTTCGCCCCAAACCCCTGGCCCGAGTCAGTCCTTGGCCACCTTTTGGGCCAAATGCCACCTCCAGACCTGCTTGAAGTGGCAGCGGAGGGGGAGCTGGGGGCTGGGCTGTGTTCACTGCGGGGGCGGGCCCTTCACCCGCAGGTGCAGGCCCGGGCACAGGGGCTCCGCTCCTGTGTGTGGGAATCTGCCCTGAGTTCTGGGGGGAGGCGGGGGGAGGCCCCCCAGACATCGGGCAGGGAGTGGCATGACTCATGAGGGCCTCCCGCCAGCGCCCCGGGCAGCCTGCGCGTCAGAAGGCGCTGACTAAGCCACAGCTCAGCCTCAGGGACTCAGATAACACAGTCGCTCCGAAGCTGGGGGAGGGGGGGGTGTCTGCCTCCCACCCTCGTGCAGCCCGGGCCTGGGCGTGGCCTGCGAGGCACAGCCCCCCTCCCTGTGGTTCTCCCCGCCTGCGGGGCGTCCCCTCCCTGGGTGCTGGCTCACAGGGCCTCCCCTCTTGCTCTCCCTGACCGCCCGGGGCTGCCCTGCCGGAGGGTTGGCTAAAGATGCCCCACGCCCCAGGCTGTTCCATCTCTGCATTGATTTCCACGTCCTCAGGGCTGGGACCACCTTTCCTCAGGCAAGGCCAGCGCGAAGGCGGGGAGGGGACCTCTGTCGGGGAGGACGGCCCCTCCCGGTGCCCGGCCCTTTGGAATGTGCGCCGTCTCCACTCCCAGCTCCGGACCGGGCCCTCCCTTGTGTGTGCTCTGGCTCCTGGTCAAGAACTTAGTTGATTGAAGGAAATTCTTTGGCCGGGCTTTTCTCTTAATATGGTCTTGCCTCTTCCCCGTGGCACGCGCTCCCCAGGGCCCTGGATAACGCTGTTACTAAAGGTTCTGGGGAAGCCGCGGCCAGGTCTCGGGTCCGAGTTGGTAGGTGGCCCTGGGGCGTGTCTCCCGGCCTCCCGGAGGGGCGGGCGTTGGTGCCACGTGACAGGCTGGTGAGTGAGCAACAGAGTGTCAGAGCCCCGTGAGCATTCGCAGCCCTTACCCGGCCCTCTGTCTGTTTTTGTAAATAAAGTTTTATTGAGACGCAGGCGTACAGCAGAGTTGAGTTGTAAGGATGGAGACCCGTGGCCCGGGACTCCCGGGGGCCTGCGCTACTTTGCTGCAGCCGCTGCCATTGTTTTGTTGGTGAAGCGGGAGCGAGGCCTTAGTCTACCCATTTCTGTCAAAACCTGAATTCAAAGATGTTTTGCAAATTATTATCCCAGAGTCAGTGGCGCTGACCCAAGCACCCGGCTCGGCCAACCCCGACCTCTGGGCAAACCCCGCTCTGAAGACCCGGATGGATCTTTTGAGACCTGGTTTGTTCATTCTTCTATTTCATCACTTTCCCATTCATCGATTTTTAAATTATGATTATTTAATATTTTTATTGATTTCAGAGACAAAGGGAGAGGAAGAGAGAGATAGAAACATCCATGATGAAGGAGAATCATTGAAGGGCTGCCTCCCGCACGCCCCACACTGGGGATGGAGCCTGCATCCCGGGCCTGGGCCCCGACCGGGAATGGATCCGTGACCTCCTGGTTCCTAGGTCGACGCTCAACCCCTGAGCCTCAGCGGCCGGGCTGATTTTTTTTTTAAATAAATATTTACTGGCCAAGCGCTGCTGTGGCAGCGACAGCCAAGATGAGGTCAGCAGGTCCGGTGGGGGTCGCGGGGGAGACAGCCGCACGCGCTGCAGACAGCGGTGGCCTCCTTGGGCGGCCGGTGTAAACACTCCCTGGCCACGGGCTCCGGCATCCAGTAGTTGACATTCTGTGGTCGGAGCAGCTTTAGAGACGCTGACGTGTCCTGCGTGGCTCCCAGGAGGCTGAGCAGGTGGTGCTGCCCACGGCTGGGCGGCTCGTCCCTTTTTCATTGGCTCTTTCTCTCTTTTGTGTTTGGGTAACCACCTCTGTTCTTTCTTTTTTAAAAAAATAGACCTTTTTATTGACGTCAGAGAGGAAGGGAGGGGGAGAGAGAGACGGAAACATCA